CCCCAAAACCCCAAAACCCCAGACAGTAGAATTGATATCAAGATTGTTAGAATCAACATAATTTCTTAAGAAACTTATTTAATTAAGCAAAAGCAGATTTATTTTTCATTTATCGTACCAAGGATTATAAAGAAAATCAAGTTTTCCAAAAAAGCTAGAAGATATTGGTTTGTTTTGACACCCCAGAATATCATAAAACACACTATGCTTGATTTCACAAGAGATCTTCAATCTGCATGCTTCATCGCAGACAGCAATATATCTCCCTGGACCTTTTACTGATTTATTCCATTGATATTTCTTGGCTAAAGTCTCATCAGTGCTGATTCTCTAAGCAAGATTTTCAAAACTTGAAGGACTGAGATCATTCATTTGAAAGTATTGCTTCAATTCATGATCTAGTTTCCAAACTGGATTAGTCCCCTTAATGTCGAATGAATGTGTCTTCACCTGCAAGGGAATCATGAGTTTATCGTCTATTTCAAACACTCTGAATGAAGGCAATCTATATTTGTAAGGTGTAAGTGATCCAGTAAGATACTACACTCCGACTGGTTTATTCTTATCAAAGGATCTAGCTATATTCGTTACCTCATCATGAAGATGCCCAAAAGCACTAAATCTAATGATATGCTGAAACCTATCAGTTAATACTTTTAAGCGAATACCCCATGAATAAGAAAAATCTTAATCCATTGGAGCAATGTGCCCTATGATGATAGCTACTTAGTTATTAGTCTCTAAATTATGAAGAGTTTTGTTAAGCCAATCAAGTTATTTGCCTGGATCGTTAATTCTTCGAAATAGAACTGGATTGTACACATAAGCTGCCTAGGTATTCAGAGCGATGATATAAACATTACTAGCTATAGTTCCATTCTTGAGTTTTAGATTTTACTTGTAGTATCCTTTCTGTGAATATTCCTGGAGAGCATTTGAATCTAGCCATTGATTCCATGAATTACTTAGATAGCTGTAAATCACATCAGGTTTATCAAAGTATTCAACAAATGAAGTAGTCATATCGTGATTTCCTAAAATTGGGTAGACTGGTATCGATGTGAAGTTCCTTTTCAAGAAGTCAGTCAACCAATCTAAGTACATCTTCTTTTCTGTGTATGATTGCCCATCTTCCTCAGTGTGAGGAGTGTTATCGCCAGTCCATAATATTACATCAGGCTTAATGACATTGTTAATGTAATCAGCCATATTTTAAATTAGATTCTTAGGAGAATTACATTGATAATCCCCGAATAGGCCTGCTTTTCTGCTATCACTTTCGGCCATACCATATGCCTTGCGACAACATATCACTCTTTGACATTCATTTACTGCTCCAACAGTGTACTCTAGATCAAGATGAAGATCTGTAAGATGAAGGATCTTGATTGTTGTTCTTGTCTAACCATTAACGCTAGTATACAAGTCATCTAAAAATGTATCGTTCACCAATGATGCTGGCTTATCAGCCAGAATACTATTTTTAAACTTAGTAACTCCCTCTGTTTTAGAAGTATATAGTGTTTTAGGGCATGAATTTAACAATTGTTGACAGACATTATCCGGAGCAAGAGCACCAGCAAATAAATTATCAAACGAGACATCAGAGAAATACTCAACTAAACCCTTGCAAGTTGACCCTTAGAATTGAGTAAAGCTACTGCACAGCAAGTTAAATAGATTTTTGTTGAAGATTCTTTGAAAATCGTTGTCAACCAAGAAAGTAACAAATTTTATGAAAAATTGGCATGTCGAGCAGCCAAACGTTGAAGTTGCTTCCACAATTTATTTCTGAGATGATAAATATTGATTTTCGCTGACTAGGTTTAAAGGATCCTATAATTATAGCTAAAATTGAATGAGTTACAGTATTTTAGCCTATTTATGCATTGGCAGAGAATATCATTAGTAAGAATAAAATACTAAGCTTGATGGGATTAGAAATTTTCATCTCGTGTAATTAAGAAATCTCAATGCTTGTTAATTACTTGATATTGAGTTCAAATTATAATAGCTTATTCTTATTAAATTTATTAATTCATTAGTTATTGCTAATTATTTAGTTAAATTGAAGTAATTGCTTTAGCGGGGTTTTGGGGTTTTGGGGTTTTGGGG